GTTTAATTACGCACCAGGCAGAGATCCAATACTGTTAAAAAACCTAAGCTAAAGAGTTTCTATTTATCTGAGGAAAGCTTAACATGATACAAGAAATGTCAAACAATTAATTGAACTCATATTTCGAGTAAAACTTTTCTCTGTGTATCACATTACAAAACATCCATTATACTGCAACACAAAACGTGTAGCCATAGACAACACAATTTCCTGGAGGAAAGACAAGTATTAAAAGATGGAAGAAGAAAAATGTTCAGAACATTAAAATGTATCATTTTGTCTGAAGTACAATACAAGTACTGCACTGCTATTATGTTCATTCACTTTTACAGAAGCTAAATTCTATATTTATACTTCTATAAGATTATATAGATGATATTATACATGGAATTTTCTGAACATGTACGACATCAAAACAGAAAAAAACACAGCGACGCATATGGCCCTTTAGACGCTTTTCAAAAGCATCTTTACTGTCATAAAAATCTTCTTCCTTCGTTTTAGCTCAAATAAAGACCTACCTGCCATAGCTGTTGGTGAAGTGTGGAGTGGAGCAGCCCGTTTTTGGGAGCCTTTATCTCCTCTTCTTTGGAGGCCAGATAAAGCACAACTGCCTCCTGCAATGATGAGCAGAGCAGCAGCTCCAAAGCCAATGTACACTGATGCTCCAAGCTCTCTTTTCTGAGCCGTGGTCAGTATGGGATTGTAGAAGTCCTGAATGATGGTGTTGGTTGTCCAGGACACAGGGATAAGCACCAGGATACCAGCAATAATGAAGAAGACCCCAGAGATTAACACAGCATTTGCTTTTCTCACCTCAGTCTTAATGCAGGTGGTGCCCATCATGGAGATTATCAAAGCCAGCAGAGCCGTGATGATGGAGATGACAGTCATGGCTCGGGCTGCCTGCAGGTCTGAAGGTAGAGCTAGCATGGAGTCATAGACCTTACACTGCATCTGTCCAGTGCTCTGCGTAACACAGTTCATCCAGAGGCCTTCCCAGATGATCTGGGCTGTGAATATGTTAGCTCCAATAAAAGCTGTGACTTTCCACATAGGCAGAACACAGACGACAACAGCTAAAATCCATCCTATCAGACCAAGGATGATGCCCACAATCTGCTTTACTACTGCCATGGTGTTTACTGACCCTGCAAAAGGCAAAGAAGTTGGAAACCAACTGCAAGATTGAAAACTTCCTTTTATATTCCAGTGCAGAAATGAGGCGGAGAGAACCAAGCAGTGGTTTTTTAGGACCAACCCAAGGAAACCACTGCTTATGACAGAACATGGGGGGATTACCAGTCAGAGACCATCCTTTACAATTTCAGTCAAAATAACTATGAAGTCCAAATTATTCATTTTTCCAAATATTCATCCAAATAATACCAAACATACCATGTTGAGGTCTGAGGTGCTCAGTCCATTATTCTGAAAACAACAGCAGCTTCTGTATTTGATTTGCAAACTTTCTTATTTTTCTGTGGTGAGTCTTTGGGATGTGTGCCCGAGTCAAGCCTCGAGTCTCTGGGGTGCAAGTCCGATGCAAGTTTCAAGTCTATTCAGTGCGAGTCTGAGTCAAGCCTCTGTTTTGCAAGTCAGAGTCAAGTCTTGAGTCTCCGGGATGAAGGTTCTAGTCAGGTCTCGAGTCTCTGGGGTGCCATATCAATGGCCTAGCAACATCTTAGCAACCACCTGGGATACTACAGCAATGGCCAAGGGATCACCTCAGATTTCACAGCATGTTGGCTTTGTCAAGCCTACTTGAAGTCTGTTCATGAGCTTTCCACCTTTACTTTCTACTTAATATTTAATAAGGTAGTATGCGGTTTGGATACAGCCTATTTTTAAGTGAGTGCTTTCTACTAATAAACTTGAGATTAAATAAATGGAATCAGTGAACCATTCTATTGTTCAAGCATATTGTTCTTGCTGTATCTTGGTTTCTGTGTGTCACTGCTTCAAGGAAGAAAAATCAAAACTTGCTGAGTTTCATTGTGGGCAGACAGGAGTCAACCATTCCACATCATCAGTAGTTTTTTACCAACCACAGTTAAGAAGAACTGGAGAACAGACAGATGGTTTATTGGCAGAACAAAGTCTGAGCAAGCTTATTGTGCAATGCTATTGACCAATTTCTTACTGTAGTAGTTTAACAAGAGTTTCACAAGGACATCTGGTTACTGAAAGATTGGCTTCAATCACTTTTCTGACATTAAGAAGTTTTGTCCAGCTTTTATGACCATCCACAAATTTTATCCCTCAAATAAGCCTTTAATTTGCAAATTGGAGCTAGCTAATCGCTTAGTAGTCACAAGTTTTAAAACATTTTCTAATGAAAATATTTTAATATAAATAAAGTCTATTCCTGTTTGCATGGGCAAAAATACATTTGGACAATACTGACTTCAGTCTTTTATTAAGTGCACTCATTTTTCTTAGGTTTATTCATTATTGTAGTGGCTCCATCAACATAAACTGGCCTACAGAAACATTTGAAATTGGAGCAATTAATCCCGTCTGTTCATACTGTTCATAATAATAATTATTATTATTATAATAACTTTATCTATGTAGCATCTTTCAAAGTGCTTCACAACAAAATTAAATGTCTGTTTCATAAAAACGGTTATAGTAATAAACAAATACAAAGACGTATGAACAAGTAAGCATTAAAATATAAAGAAAATAGAACAAAATAAACATAGACTTAGAATGAAAAATAAGAACAAGAGAATAAATATGGTTCAAAATAAAAAATAAAAAAAACAAATATAATTGAGCAAAAACCTAACAGCAAAAAACTTATATCGAGCCTTTCTGAAACAGGTTCTACATAGCACCAACAAGGGTTCTGCTATTGTTATGATATGAGCTTGTAACAATAGCAGAATCCTTTTTGGTAATATATAGAACCTAAAGAACCATTTCACAATGCAAAGAACACTTTAATCATGTAAGGGTTATTTCAGCATTGTTATGGTATTTAATATACACTCTTTAAAAAGATGGTTCTTCAAGGGTTCCTTAGTAAAGAAAATAAACGTTTAAATAACCCTTTGCATGATTAAAGGGTTCATTGCATTGCGAAAGTGTTCTTCATATTGACAAAGAATCTGTTCTATATGGTTCTCATATGTAGAGCCTTTTCAAAACAGATTCTATATAGCATCAACAAGTGTTCTGCTATTGTTACGAGATGAGCTTGTAAGAGTAGCAGAACCCTTTTTGCTGCTACATAGAACCTAAAGAACACTTTCACGATGCAAAGAACCCTTTAATCATGCAGTTATTTGAACATTCATTTTCCTCGTAATGATACTTATTGTACACTCTTAAAAAAGATGGTTCTTCAAGGGTTCTTTAGTAAAGAACATGAATGCTCAAATAACCTTTTGCATGATTAAAGTGTTCATTGCATCGTGAAAGGGTTCCTCACACTGATAAAGAACCTGTTTAATCTGGTCCTATATGGAACCTTTTTGAAGCAGGTTCTATACAGCACCAAAAAGGTTTCTGCTATTGTTACAATATGAGCTTCTAACAATAGCAGAACCCTTTTTTGTTGCTATATAGAACCTAAAGAACAGTTTGACGATGTAAAGAGCCCTTTAATCCTGCAGAGGATTATTTGAGCATTGTTGTGGTATTTATAGTACACTTTTAAAAAGATGGTTCTTTAAAGGTTCCTTAGTAAAGAACATGAATGCTCAAGCAACCCTTTGCATGATTAAAGGGTTCTTTGCATTGTGAAAGGGTTCTTCACATTGATAAAGAATCTGTTCGATATGGTCCTATATCGAGCCTTTTGAAACAGATTCTATACAGTACCAACAAGCGTTCTGCTATTGTTATGATATGAGCTTGTAACAGTAGCAGAACTCCTTTTGGTGCTACATAGAACCTAAAGAACATTTCACAATGCAAAAGAACTCTTTATTCATGCAAAAGGTTATTTGAGCATTGTTATGGTATTTAATATACACTCTTTAAAAAAATGGCTCTTCAAGGGTTTAGTAAAGAACATGAATGCTCAAATAACCCTTTGCATGATTAAGTTTTTTCACATTGATAAAGAATCTGTTCTATATGGTGCTATATTGAGCCTTTGGTGCTACATATGACCTAAAGACCCCTTGAAAAACTAACACTAATAGAGTTAGTGAGAGGGAAATTGACACACTTTCGGGAGTCTTAGAAAACAACATGGATGCTTCTCTAAAAGCAGAAGGAAGAGAATGAAGTAAAGGAAGTCACTGTGCAAAAAGGTGTTGCATTAGATCTTCTCTTGAAGGAAAAGGGAGGTGTCAGACTACGGGAGGTGAGTGTTGCACTTATGTCTCCTATGCCTCATGCGCAGTGCAAGACCAGTCCATGACACGGCTAATGGTACAAAAGAACTGTGCGAAGCCCTGCTTGGGATCCTTCTTACCTGTACTCGTGGTTCACTAGAGGGGCTTTGTGAACAAAATTGCCATAAGCCATAGGGTGTAGTGATATTTCTGATCATTGTTGCATGGAAGCTGTTCTCACTATATGGCTGGTTCCAGCAACGAGAATATGGGCCTTGCTTATTATCGTAATTCGCAAACCTGATTGACTGTTTGATCATCACCCAGACCCTTCTGCGGAAGACAACGTCAGTGTTTAAGCAACCTTGTCCCACACTTCCCTTCGCATGAAGGTGTTGACACTGATGAGGGGAAATGTGTGAAAAAAGAAGTCTTTTTATAATATGATTTTATATATCATCTAAGTTGTATTTTATTTTAACCAAGTAATTAGTTTTAATCAAACAGCATTAACTTTCTCTCTGGCAAGAACGTGAACTCAAGCTGACCACTGAAGGTTCATACACTGTTTTTTTAATTGCAATGTTACACAATCCATGTTTGGTAGTTTTACTCTGTAACCAATCACAAGCTTGAGACTGTCTGCAGTGCCTATATAATCCAGTCTCAGATGATGAATGTTTGAGACTTTTCGTCACAAGACAGAACTCTCCCAGTACTGGAAGAGCTGCATAACTTCTCATATATTAACTGATTGAATAATTTTTCCTCACATCCACCAGACAAAACAGACTGGATTTCTAGTGCAGACTGCAGAAGGTGATACCTGCTCTGTACAATAAGCACTGATTTAGAGAGTCTGTAAGTATTTTACTTCTCCTTGTTTTGGGTTCAGTGCACAGTGTGGCACAAGATTACATAGCTACATGCTTATTTTTCAGCATCTTTGTTAGGCTTTATTGGAAATCATCAACAGCATGTCAGTCAGACTGATTATTTTAGTGCTGTGTGAGCAGATAGTATATTGTAGGCTTTAGATGTATAAATGCAGTGTGAGTTTGACAGAAAACAGTGAATGTCTGCCTTTAGTCCTTCTGTTTCTGTGTTGTAGTGTCCTAGTCCTCTTTCCGTGTGACACAAACAACAATTCAGGAGAGAAAAATGGGTAAGAAAATGCTGTGCATGTTTTTACTTCATCCAAATTGTTCATCATTATCACAATGATAATTAAAGCACTTCACTCTGACTGAGAGCAGCAAAGGGCTCTAATTTAGTATGAACTGGCGAATAGAAGTGCTCTGTAGGTGTTAAACAGATCTTTCTTTGCTTTCCAGAAAACAGTGAAGAGGGACAAAACACAAGTGATGCATCAGAATTTGATGACCATAATATGGATTATATTTTATTTAATGAATTTTGTAAATATAAGACTGTGATCAAATTTGGATCCATTGTAGTTCCCGTATTCTTCACCACTGTGGTCCTCCTCAGTCTCCTTGGTAACGTCCTGGTTCTGGTGATCCTTGGACTCTTTGAAAACCTCAAATCACTGACCAACATCTTTATCCTCAACTTGGCTCTGTCTGACCTGATCTTCACGCTTGGACTTCCGTTTTGGGCCTGTTCCTACATCTGGGGCTGGACCTTTGGTGATTTTATGTGCAGAAGTGTGAACTTTGTCTTCTCTGTTGGATTTCATAGCAGCATTGTGTTCCTGATGCTGATGACCATTCAGCGCTACATAGCAGTGGTCCATCCTCTGTTTGACTGGAACGGGTGGCAGAATTTTTCAGTGATTCCCATCGTTGCTTGGGTGTTTATCTTTGCATCAGCATTACCAGCCGTAGTGTACAGTGAAGTCAGAGCTGAGCCAGACTCTAACAAACTTTACTGTGCATACAACAGCTTTAAAGCTGCCATCGGTGTTACATATCAACAGAACATTTTGTTTGTTGTTGCCTTTTCAGTCATGGGTTTTTGCTACATAAGAATTATTCAGACCATCCTCAGGTCCCAGAGAAACAGCAAACACAGGACTATAAGAGTTATCTTCTGTGTTGTGGTGGTGTTCTTTCTAGGTTGGGCTCCTTATAACATTGTGATATTTCTGCAGACCTTAACTCATCAGCAGATCGAGCCTTTTGCAGAGTGTGATGTCTCGATTAAGCTTGACTTTGCGCTTTATGTCTGCAAACTGTTGGCTTTTGCCCACTGCTTTCTTAATCCAGTACTTTATGTTTTTGTTGGTGAAAAATTCCGGAATCATTTGAAGAAGCTTCTACAGAAAATTGAATCGATGTGGACTTCCATTAAATGGGAATGGTAGAAATTCATTCTGACAGTTTTGTGTATGCCAAATGTTGATCTAATCCGCTCCAATACAATAAATAAATACGTTAAATATGTTGATAGAACAGAGTCTGACCAGGTGGTTGGCAGTGCTGTTTAACGTTGTGGGATGGTAACCTTCGTCAATTGTTCACTTTATAAAAGCATTATATTGAATAGGAACGGCTGACATCAATCCAGTATATGTTACTGCACAATTACCTTCAACTGGACACTGGACAAGCCAGAGTTCCCAGCAAACATACAAAGTGTGCAAACATTATATTAAGCATGTAAAATCTCTAATATATAAACACTAGAACATACCATAAAACCAATGAATGTAGACAGTAATTACACTATATGGATAAAAGCATTGGGACACACCTCTTAATCATTGAATTCAGGTGTTCCATTCAGTCGCATTGCCAGGTATATAAAATCAAGCACCTAGCCATGGAGACTGCCTCTACAAACATTTGTGAAAGAATGAGTTCACTGAATTCGAGTGTAGTATTGTAATAGGAAGCCACCGTTGCAACAAGTAAGTTCACAAAATTTCTTCCCTCCTAGATATTCTACAATCAACTGTGAGAGGTATTATTGAAAAGTGGAAGCGTTTAGAAACCACAGCAACTCAGCCGTGAAGCAGCAGACCACGTAAAGTTACAGGGCAGGTTGCCGAGTGCTGAGGCACATAGCGTATAAAAGCTCTGCTGACTCAATAACTGCAGAGTTCAAACCTCCTCTGGCCTTAACAACAGCACAAGAACTGTGCGCTGGGAGCTTCGTTGCATGGGTTTCCATGGCCGAGCAGCTGCATGCAAGCTTTACATAACCAAGCATAATGACAAGCATCAGAAGGAGTGGTGTAAAGCCTCACCACTGGACTCTGGAGCAGTGGAACTCTATTCTGTAGAGTAATGAAACACGCTTCTCTATCTGCCTATCTGATGGACGAGTCTGGGTTTGGCGAATGCCAGGAGAACATTACCTGCATCTGACTGCATTGTGCCAGCTGTTACGTTTGATGGAGAGGGGATAATGCTATGTTTGTCCATATACAAAAACAGTGAAGAGGGAGAAAATGCAAGTGGTACATTTGCAGATTATGAATTTTATGATTATGAATATTATGAAGAGCATTATAAATTTTGTAGCTATGAGGCTGCGACCAAATTTGGATTATGTCAAAAAAGGTTGTTTATTTTCTGCTGGTGGAAACCCTCCTTGTTTCCTTGTCTTCTCATCAGTTGAGGGACCTTCTGCTCTTGTTAATGTCACTGTTGTTACATTTTTTCTCCACTTGTTGTTGATTGTCTTCACTGTTACATGGTGGATATATATATATATATATTGATTTTCTAAGTGAAAATAAATGTTCTGCATTTTTTTTTCTGAGTTTAACATATTGCAAAAAAAAAAAGGAAACATAAAACCAGTATATAACATAAAAATGTCATTTACATGTAACAGCTGAAGGAAAAAACAAGGACTAATAAATAGAAACCTACTAAACCACCAAGAACTCTGGGAAAGTCTGCTACATACACTCTTAGAACTGGTGGTGGTGGTTAGTTTGTTCTCACTGGACTCTCAACCAGACAGTACAAACAACTTGCCTGAATTAAATGGTAAGAACTGATTGACAATGTCAGAGCTTTCAGTGAGAACTCCACACTCTCTCACCCTCTTACATTCAGTCTCCAAACCTGAGCAACCCAGACTGTTTTTTAACAGAATGTCAATTGATTACACAGAATGTCAACTGATTACACATATAAGCTCAGCTATATTTTTATATTAATTAAGTATTTAACTTTAACCAAACAGCATTAACTTTCTGCCTGGCAACAAAGTAACCTGCAGAAGAGATGCAACCCAAAATGCAGACAGTCAGTCTTTTTAAGAATCGTACAGGGTGCAGATACGTATCTCCTGTGTAAGCGAGAAGTGAGACACTGTCTGTCTCTGTGGTTCCTGCTACTCGCTGAAATTAAGTCATCAGCTTCTTTTAGAAACAGGGCTTCTGTTCTGAAGTTAAGTTGACCACTGAAGGTTACATGTTCTCACACTGTATTTTTAAGTGCCATGTTAGAAACTCCACGTTTGGTAAAGTTTTACTCTGTAACCAATCACAAGCTTTATACTGTCTGTAGTAGACAGAACTCCCTCAGTACAGGAAGAGCTGCATAACTTCTCATATATTAACTGACAGAATCATTCTTTCTTCACATCCACAAGACAAAACAGACTGGATTTCTAGTGAAGACTGATAGTTGCTCTATAAACAGCTCAAACACCTTCAGCACAAGTGCTGTTTTTGAGAGCCGTTTGCTACAAATCTGTAAGTTTTTTTCTCTTATTTTAGTTTGAGTGCACAGTGCGGCACAAGACTGTAGAGCTGCATGCTTATTTTTCAGCATCTTTGTTAGGCTTTATTCATCAATAGCATTGATGAGCACAGTGAATGGCTGCTTTTAGTCCTTCTGTTTCTGTGTTGTAGTGTCCTCGTCCTCTCTCTGTGTGACAAAGACAATTCAGGAGAGAAAAATGGGTAAGAACATTCTGTATATCTGTTTATATTGCATCCAAATCGTTCAACACTATCACAGTGATTAAAACACTTCACTCTGAATGAGAGCAGCAAAGAACTCTAATTTAGTATAAACTGGTGAATAGAAGTGCTCTGTAGGTATTTAACAATCCTTTCTTTGCTTTCCAGACCATGAGGATGGAGAATATGAAAATAGCACTTTTGAATATTATGAAGATTATTACTTTTTTGACTTTGATGTGGAATACATGTTTCATAATGAATTGTGCAGCTATGAGGCTGTGACCAAATTTGGATCCATTGTAGTTCCCATAGTGTTCACCATTGTGGTCCTCCTCAGTCTCATTGGTAACATCCTGGTTCTGGTGATCCTTGGACTCTACGAGAACCTCAAATCACTGACCAACATCTTCATCCTTAACTTGGCTCTGTCTGACCTGATCTTCACTCTTGGACTTCCTTTTTGTGTCAGTTACTACATCTGGAGCTGGACGTTTGGTGATTTTATGTGTAAAGCCATGAACTTTATATTCTCTGCTGGATTTTATAGCAGTACTGTGTTCCTGATGCTGATGTCCATTCAGCGCTATTTAGCAGTGGTCCATCCTCTGTCTGATTGGAACAAAAGGCAGAGGTTTGCAGCGATTCTCATCCTTGCTTGGACGTTCAGCTTTGCAGCAGCTTTACCAGACTTACTTTTCAGCAAAGTCAAAGTTAACTCAGCACTCTCTAAAAAACCATTACTGTGAGTTTAACAACATCAAAGCAGGTGCTGTGTTTACATATCAACAGAACATTTTGTTTGTTGTTGCATTTTCAGTCATGGGTTTTTGCTACATAAGAATTATTCAGACCATCCTCAGGTCCCAAACAAACAACAGACACAGAACTAGAAGACTGATCTTCTGTATTGTGGTGGTGTTCTTTGTAGGCTGGGCTCCTTATAACATTGTGATATTTCTGCGGACCTACACTGATCATCGGATCAAATCTTTAACAGAATGTGACGTCTCCAGTCCTCTTGAATATGTGTTTTATGTCTGCAAACTGCTGGCTTTTTCCCACTGCTTTATTAATCCAGTGCTTTATGTTTTTGTTGGTGTAAAATTCAGGAATCATTTGAGGAAGCTTCTACAGAAAATTTTTCAAAGTTAAATTGACATGAACTTCCATTGAATGAGAATGGTAAAAATTCATTCTGTTAGTTTTATGCTTGCGAAAAGTTGACCCAATCCACTTTCATTCAATAAATAAATAAGTAAGTAAGTAATTGAATGGTTAAATAACTGTGGCATGTTGGAGCTGAGGAGGCAAAGCAGAAGTTCAAATAAATGTGTCCTACTAGTAAACTTGGAATGAAATATAAATAACAACAAAAATATCTGTGAACCTGTTTTTGTTATTAGAAGAATTGTGGTCTTGCTGTGTCTTGGTTTCTGCGTTTTTCATTGCATCAAGGGAGCAACTGAGTTTCAGTTGGGCAAACAGGGGGCGACCACTCTACATCATGAGCGGTTTGTCCAACCACAGTTAAGATGATCTGGATCCATGGATGGTTTTGTTGCTAGAACAAACTGAAGTCAGCGAACATACAACAAACTGTGCAAACATTATATTAATCATTTAGTATCTCCAAACCAATGTAGTGTTAATGGAGAACTTTATGTCATGAAATCAATGTGTGTAGATGTCAGACATATAACACTGTCTCCATGGCAGGTTTGTATGGAATTTTAATGTGGACGTGATTACAGAGCTGTAGACATGAAATTCAGCAACTGAAGACAGTAATTGTGTCACCCGAGGTTGTTTATGTTCCCTCCCACATGTGGTCTTGCTGGCGGAAACGCTCCTTGTTTTCTCCTTGTCTTCACATCAGTGTTTGGGGACATCAGGTTCTTGGTAATGTCACTGTTGTGCCATTTTTTTCTCCATTTGTTGATGATTGTCTTTACTGTTACATGGTATATACATTTTTTAAACCCTAAAATGTTTCTTTACCTTCATTTATAGATTGCCATTTCACATTAAAGGTGGAAAAATTTCTGACATGATTTAACTTGGTATAATGTTTTTTACAACATAAAAGCCTGCCATTTTTACAAGATGTGTAGACTTTTTATATCCACTGGAAAGTACATCCACAATTATTTTTTTATCCACATGATATAACCTCTGGTTAAATGACATTTTATTGAGTTTAACACATTGGAGAAAAATATAAAACATAAAATGTGCCACAATTTTTGCACAGGCCATATTTTAAAATGTTACAGAAGTGTGTTGTCTGTAGAGGACATGTTCACTTCAACCAAAAAAATTGACGAGGGGCGCCCAAACTTTTGCCTATGACTGTATATAACCTTTATATAATGTAAAAATGCCATTTATATAAAACATCTGAAGGAAAAAAAGGGCTAACAAATAGAAACCTACTAAACCACCAAGACCTTTGGGAAAGCCTGCCTTATACTTTCTTAGAATGTGTTGTGGTTAGTTTGTTCTCACTGGATTCTCTACCGGAGAATACAAACAACTTGCCTGAATTAAATAATGAGAACTGACTGAAAATGTCAGAGCTTTCAGTGAGAACTTCACACTCTCTCACCCTCTCACATTCAGTCTTCCAACCTGAGCAACCCGGACTGTCATTTAACAGAATGTCAAATGATTACACATTGCAATTCATGCAGTGACAATGATAAAGGAAGTGAAACAGTAGTGCTAAAAGAGGGAAGTGTTTTACAGTCATGTGCAGCTTCATCTACTGGGCCAAAGTTGTGGTTTTTGATGTTTTTAGAAGCCTGAACACATAAACTGCTGATCCACGTGAGAAAAATCTTATATCCTGATCATAAGCTGTATTTTTATATTCATCATGTTTTTAACTTTAATCAAACAGCGTTAACTTTCTGTCTGGCAACAAAGTAACCTGCAGAAGAGATGCAACCCAATATGCAGACAGTCAGTCTTTTTATGAAATGTACAGGGTGCAGATATCTCCTGTGTAAGCGAGAAGTGAGACACTGTCTGTCTCTGTGGTTTCTGCTCTTTATTGAAATGAATTTGTCAGTTTCTTCTAGAGCTTCTGTTCTGAACTTAAGTTAACCACTGAAGGTTACATGTTCCCACACTGTTTTAAGTGCCATGTTCGAAACTCCATATTTGGTAGTTTTACTCTGGAACCAATCACAAGCATTATACTGTCTGAAGTGCCTATATAACCCACAGTCAGATGATGAATGTGTGAGGCTTCTCGTTACCCAGTACTGGAAGAGCTGCCTTACTTCTCATATATTATTTGATTGAATCATTTTTCCCACATACCGGACATAACAGACTGGATTTCTAGTGCAGACTGCAGAAGCTGATACTCGCTCTGTAAACAGCTCAAACACCTTCAACTGTTTTTGAGAGTTGTTTCCTACAAATCTGTATGTAATGTTTTTTCCTTGTTTCAGTTTTGGTGCACAGTGTAGCACAAGGTTGCAAAGCTACATGCTTATTATTCAGCATCTTTGTTAGGCTTTATTGGAAATTATCAATAGCATGTTAATCAGACTGATATTTTAGTGCTGTGTGAGCAGATAGTATATTGTAGGCTTTAGATGTACAAATGCAGTGTGAGTTTGACAGAAAACAGTGAATGGCTGCCTTTAGTCCTTCTGTTTCTGTGTTGTAGTGTCCTAGTCCTCTTTCTGTGTGACACAGATACAATTCAGGAGAGAAAAATGGGTAAGAAAATGCTGTATATGAGCTCTAATTTAGTATGAACTGGTGACTAGAAGTGCTCTGTAGGTGTTAAACAGTCCTTTCTTTGCTTTCCAGAAAACAGTGAAGATGGAGAATATGCAAGTGTTACACCTGTATATTATGACTTTTCTGAGTATTATGTGTATGATATTTCTCATAATGACGTTTGTAGCTATGAGGCTGTTACCAAAGTTGGATCCATTGTAGCTCCCATATTCATCTCCACTGTGGTCCTCCTCAGTCTCATTGGTAACATCCTGGTTCTGGTGATCCTTGGACTCTGTAAAAACCTCAAATCCCTGACCAACATCTTTATCCTAAACTTGGCTCTGTCTGACCTGATCTTCACTCTTGGACTTCCGTTTTGGGCCTGTGCCTACATCTGGGGCTGGACATTTGGTGATTTTATGTGTAAAGGTGTGAACTTTATCTTCTCTGCTGGATTTTATAGCAGCACTATGTTCCTGATGCTGATGTCCATTCAACGCTATATAGCAGTGGTCCATCCTCTGTCTGACTGGAACAGCAGGCAGAGTTTTGTAGCGATTCTCATTCTTACTTGGATGTTCAGCTTTTCAGCAGCTTTGCCATCCTTACTGTACAGTGAAATCATAGCTAACCAAATAGACTCTAAGACAACCCAATATGACTGTGGGTTTAACAGCACTAAAGCCATTGTTGGTGTTATATATCACGAGACTATGTTTTTTGTTATTGCCTTTACAGTCATTGGTTTTTGCTTCATAAGAATTATTCAGACCGTCCTCAGGTCTCAGACAAACAACAGACACGGGATTATAAGACTGATCTTCTGTATGGTGGTGGTGTCCTTTATCAGCTGGGCTCCTTATAACATTGTGATGTTTCTGAGGTTTTTGACTTTCCACCAGACGACAACACAATGTGATGTGTCCATTCATTTTAACTATGCTATTTATATCTGCACGGTGCTCGCTTATTCCCACTGCTGTCTTAATCCGGTGCTTTATGTCTTTTTTTGGTGTAAAATTCCCAAATTATTTAAGAACACTTCTACAGAAAATGTTTCGATGTTGACTTAACGTGAAGTTCCATTAAATGAGAAAGATAGAAATTAATTCTGCCAGTTTTATGTATGCCAAAATTTGATCTAATGCTCTCCAATTTAATAAATAATTAACTAAAAAAATGCACTGATAATAAGAGGATGGCATGTTGGAGCTCAAGAGGCAAAAGAAGTTTAAATAAATGCTTCAAACTAATAACTTGGAATGAAATACAAACAACAACAAAAAAAAATGAGAGAAGATGTTTTTTATTCAAGCATTTTGGTCTTGTTGTGTCTTGGTTTCTGAGCTTTTCACTGCTGCATGGGGAATAACTGAGTTTCAGTTGGGCAGACAGGGGTCGACCACTCTACATCGTCAGCAGCTTTTCCAACCACAGTTAAGAGGATCTGGATGCATGGATGGTTTTGTTGCTAGAACAGAATCTAAACAGATACTCAGCAGAGCTGTTTAACACTGTTTCTGGGATGATGACCTTCATCAACTGTTCATACCACTACTTTATAAAAGCACTTCAATGATCAGGAACTGCTGACATCAATCCAGTACATGTTATTGCCCATTCACAGCAGCCTTCAACTGAACGCTAGGTCAGAGTTCCCATCAAACATACAACAACATGTGCCAACATCATATTAAGCATTAAGTAACTGAAATACCATAAAACCAATGTAGTGTTAATGGAGAACTGTTTTATGCCATGAAATCAATGTGTGTAGATGATGGATGCTGTCTCAATCACAGGTTTATGTTAAATTTAAATTACCAGCTGATGACAGAGATATATACATTGAAATGAAGCAGATGTAGACAGTCATTTTGTCAGAAAAGGCTGTTTATTTTCCCCTCTACATGTGGTGCTGGTGGAAACAACAAGCTCTCAGACCAGCTTTTTGTATAACATTAGGTATAACTACAGTTACAAAAAAGTACATTTAAAAAATAAAACATAATAACTATATGAGTAATAAAATTATAATAATCATCATAATAATGTGAGACATCAGGACATTGTTACCAGGTTGTTGGTAACTGGTCTACACTCCATACTTTTTCAGTAGGCTGAACAGCTGGTCAGATAGCAAACCGGTTAACAGACTCCTCCAACAATGTTCAGAAAGGTTTTCATTTTTCTGTTTTTTTACTGGAAAAAACAATTATCTCCAAAATGGCAGCCTTACAGGAAAGTGTGAAAATTACGGAGCCCTGCAGGTGATATTCTGTATAAATAAAAATAATGCATGGCCACGATTTAGTAAGGCAACGGGAACAAGATAATTAAGTCATAACTTAGTAAGGCGTGGGAACGAGATCCTAATACGTGGCCATGACTTAGCAAGGCATGATCTCATTCCCACGTTTACCATGATCTCATATCTCATTCCCATGCATAATTAAGTTGCAGCCATGCATAAGAATCTCATTCCCATGCTTTACTAAGTTACGGCTATGCATAAGGATCTCATTCTCACGCATTAATATGGTGTGGCCATGCATTATTTTTTATTTATACAAGATGTCACCAGCAGGGCTCTGTAGAAAATAGTCAAAACTTTAAATGCAATTTAGTGTAAAGATATTTTTCTAAGCAATTTTGGAGCATTTCTGTTGGTCCAATTGGCATTAAATTTTCACACAAGCTTAAAGGCAGCTGCTGTGTTTAAATGAAGTAGAAAATTTTGAATTGAAAAACATAGAAATACCTGTTTTTGTTTTTTGGACAGCAACAATATGTTGCTTAGTTGGTTAAAACAATGAACAGAAATTAGTTGGTGTTACTTCAGAGCTGCACAAACAAGATTAAGAAATCCCTATGCATGTCTTAACCACCTCAGTTTTCATGGGAAGTGTGCAGTTCACGAAATATCCAGAAATGTCATTTTTCAGAAATGCCAGTTTGTTTCAATTCCTCTTTCAGAGAGAACTGCAGCCAGTAGTGCCATTATATGCAGTTCCTTCTACTGATCAAAAGCCTGACAGTAGAAAGCACACTCTTCTGACCCTCCAGGTGAAACAGTTCATGTTTCCAGTGCAGACTGCAAAAGCTGATACTTGTTCTGTAAGTATATTCCTGTACATTTGTACATATTTTTATTTTCCTTGTTTCAGTTTTAGGTCACAGTGTAGCACAAGGTTGCAAAGCGACATGCTTATTTTTCAGCATCTTTGTTAGGCTTTATTGGAAATCATCAACAGCATGTCAGTCAGACTGATATTTTAGTGCTGTGTGAGCAGATAGTATATTGTAGGCTTTACATGTACAAATGCAGTGTGAGTTTGACAGAAAACAGTGAATGTCTGCCTTTAGTCCTTCTGTTTCTGTGTTGTAGTGTCCTCAGTCCTCTTTCCAAGTGACACAGGCAACAATTCAGGAGAGAAAAATGGGTAAGAAAATGCTGTATATGTGTTTTTACTTCATCCAAATTGTTCATCATTATCACAATGATAATTAAAGCACTTCACTCTGACTGAGAGCAGCAAAGGGCTCTAATTTAGTATGAACTGGTGACTAGAAGTGCTCTGTAGGTGTTAAACAGATCTTTCTTTGCTTTCCAGAAAACAGTGAAGAGGGAGAATATGCAAATAGCACATTTGGATATTATGAATATTATGAATATCATAATACATCACATCAAAACGAAGCTGTGATCAAAGTTGGATCCACTGCAGCTCCCATAGTCTTCACCATTGTGGTCCTCCTCAGTCTCATTGGTAACGTCCTGGTTCTGGTGATCTTTGGACTCTATGAAAACCTCAAATCACTGACCAACATCTTCATCCTCAACTTGGCTCTGTCTGACCTGATCTTCACTCTTGGACTTCCGTTTTGGGCCTGTTCCTACATCTGGAGCTGGACGTTTGGTGATTTTGTGTGTAAAAGTGTGAACTTTATCTTCTCTGCTGGATTTCATAGTAGTATTGTGATCCTGATGCTGATGTCCATTGAGCGCTACGTAGCAGTGGTCCATCCTCGGTCAAACTGGAACAGATGGCAGCGATTTGTCTTTCCTATCCTTACTTGGGTGTTTAGCTTTGCAGCAGCATCACCAGAGTTACTGTACAACAAAGTCATGTCTGACCCAACAGATAATAAACATTGCTGTGACTATTACAGCATTGAAGCTATCATCGGTTTTACATATCAACAGAACATTTTGTTTGTTGTTGCCTTTTCAGTCATGGGTTTTTGCTACATAGGAATTATTGTAACCATCCCCAGGTCCCAGAGAAACAACAGAAACAGGACTAGAAGACTGATCTTCTGTATTGTGGTGGTGTTCTTTATCAGCTGGGCTCCTTATAACATTGTGATGTTTCTGCTCACCTTACTTTTTCATCGGACCGACACTTTTACACAGTGTGATGTGTTCATTCATTATGACTCTGCGTTTTATGTCTGCAGACTGCTCGCTTGTTCCCACTGCTGTTTGAATCCAGTTATTTATGTTTTTGTTGATGTAAAATTCCGTAATCATTTGAAGACGCTTCTACAGCAAATGTTTGTGGGACGGTGACCTTCATCAACTGCTCACAGCATTATCTTATAAAAGCATTACAATGATCAATAAATGCTGACATCAGTCCACTCCATAATATTACACTATTAGAGAGGCCTTCGCTGCCATCCAGATGACGTCTTTTTCAGGGAAGGCCTTGCTTATTTCAGCAGGACGATGCCAAACCACATTCTGCAAGTATTACAACAGCATGGCTCTGTAGTAAAAAGAGTCTAGGTGCTAAACTGACCTGCCTGCAGTCCAGACCTGTCACCCACTGAAAATATTTGGTGTATCATGAAATGAAAAATACAACAAAGGAGACCCTAAACTGTTGAGCAGCTGAAATCCTACATCAAGCAAGAACAAGAAAACATTTCACTTTCAAAACTACAGCAGTATCTCCTCAGTTCCCAAACACTTACAGAGTGTTTTACAGAGAGATTTAAAAGAAAAGGTGATGCAACACAGTGGTAAACAGTGTCCCAACTTTTTTTTAAATATGTTGCTGCCATCAAATTCAAAATGGGCACATATTTTTCAGAAAACAACACAATTTCTCAGTTTTAACATTTGACATACATCTTTTCACAATATAAGGCACAGTAGATGGTGAATGTCCTTTGGTGTATGCTCCTTTTATTCACCTAATTCACCTACTTATTCCGGAATGTTTCAAAATAGTGTAACTTAAATATTCTCTAAACTTTTCACTCTTATTTTGCCCTGGTCCCAACATTTTTTGAGTGTGTTGCAGGCATCAAATTCAAAATATGTTTATATTTACAAAATACAATCAAGCTGGTCAGCCAAAACATTAAAAGTCATTTCTTTGTACTTTGTACTCTTTGTCACTTAAATAACAGTTCAAGAGAATTAACAATCATAGATTCTGAATTTTATTGCATATTACACAATTTCTCAGTCTTAACTACTACAAAGTCTTGGTCTAGACTGGGACTCAATGTGTCCAAGTCTCTGTTTTGACTCGAACTCAACTCAAAAAATTATGTGGATACCGTAAAGAAGGTTAGGGTTAGGATGAGGGCCAGGGTGAGGGTTAGAATTAGGTTTTGGGTTGAGGTTAAGGTTAGGGTTAGGATTAGGTTTTGCTACCTACTGTCTACTTCATGTAACATATCAACAATACATCTAGTTAATGTAAATAACGTATAAACAGTACATCTAGATATTTACCTCAATGTACTCAGATGCTGCACTACTGCTACATCACTTATATGTTGTTGATGTGTTATTGACACTACAAAGGATGACTCAAAATAGTTAACTGTCCAAATAAAAAAAAATCAAACAGATATGTTAAATAACAACATGAAAAAATGCATAAAAATTAAAATATTATTTTCATGAGTTGAAATTAAGCAGTTAGGGTTTGGGACAGACACCTCTCAATAGAAAGTACCCTATAAATGATGATTTTGTATACAGTCAGGTCCATAAGTATGTGGACAGTGACATAATTTTTGTAGTTGTGGTGCTTCATTAACCAGCTGTTGTTGGCTACAGCTATGCTGTACATAAGCAGGGTTTCCTCTTCCTCTTCCTCTCACAGCTCATTTGCTACTCAAAACATGACTGACTCTATCAGCTTTCTGCTCACACACACACGCCAGATGGCTCCACCCTTCACAATATGAGCCCTTAGCAAAATAACCCTGTGAAGTAACTCTTCAGAAGAATTTCAGAAGAACCCAAAATCAATGTGTAAAACCATTTCTTGAACACACTACAATATTTTCAGGTTGTGATTGGGGATGTACAAAAAAGTAACTCATTTACTCAAGTAGTTTTTCAGTAAACAACCTATTTACTCTTACTTAGTAATTTACTTTATCAATACTTTTATTTGTACTCAAGTAAACTTACTACAGTAAAATTACTTTTACTTAAGTATTGATTTTCAGTACTTTTTCCACCCCTGCTAAGAGAAAAACTGGAAGTTGTAAAAAGTTGTAAATTAATAATTGTGAAATGATACTGATCACATTTGCAAATTCCACAGCAATAACAAAAAAAAAACACGTACAGAAAAACACTCATAAGCTATTCACACACTCTGTAGACTGAACACATGCAGATTATGTAAAATATAGTGCATATGTCACACATTGTACTAACTCTCAGACGGAAACGGACTTCATTTCCCAAGCTCCTTTTGAAGATCATGTGACTTCAAACGTCCCTTCTGAATCGGAGTCTCAAGTGGACTCCATTACCCACAAGTCAAGCGGGGATCATATGACTTCTGACAAGCACTCACACACCTATCAGCGTTCCCAATCCCCTGAGTATTGACTAGCTTCACCTGTGTGCCTAGTCATGTGTTTAGTTAGAGTAATATATAAGCCCGGGTTTAGTGAGTATCAGTGCGAGGTATTGCTTCCCTGAGAACTTACTGAGCGTTATTTCTGATTACTTGATTCTGTTTTTGACTCTGCTTTTTGCCTGTTCCCTTTTGTACTGTTGCCTGGTATTTTGGATTTGTGTTTTGACTATTTTGCCTGCCTTTTTGACCTCATCTTTAGTCTTGCCCCATTGTTTTGTTTGCTTTGTGATATGATTACTTTCGTGATCTTTTTGCACTTCTTGGTTTTGACCCATGCCTGTGTTTTGACTACGTTTTTGCCAAGTGTTAATAAAACCAATCTTGTTAGTTTTATCCGCACGCGTCTGGATTCTGCTGAATGGTTACAGCATATAATTCATTTTCTTTAGTTTTAAAATGTATCTTCATCAAACCCACATCAAAACACCATCAATTGTCACCTGGAATGGTTTTAATTAACAGGTGTGCCTTGTCAAGAGTTCATTTGTGGAACTGTTTGTCTTCTTAATGTGTTTGAGACCATCAGTTGTGTTGTGTGGAGTGGAGTTGTGTTCATCATGAAAGTATTTTACAATGTAAATAAAAGGCTCTGTGCATTTAAAATATGTTTGAGGGGATTAGAAACTAGTCAGAGCTTGTACACAGGGCAGTAATCTGGGTGGTCTGTGGGTGGATCAGAAGTGATAGTAAGTTAGCGGAGTGCTGATCCTATCAAGCCAGCAGGCCGATACATGCTCACTATGTGGGTGAAGTTCACTGTCTGACTCTAGAAAAGCCCCGGAACGACCTCAAAGGATACAGCGCCTGGTAGAACCTTCATTAGAACCAGTACTGCTCCAGAACTGTTGGATAAACTGCATAGCTGTTAGTCACGACTTCTCTCTGTGGCACAGACGAGCATCTGGGAAATAGAAATGGGTAATAAAATGATATTTACGTCAATAATTTTAGTCATTTATTTAAACAATGTTATGATTTGTCGTCACTACTTTTCTCTCTATCAGCTGTTTTTCTGCATATTAAAAAAAAAGAGTTGCAATGGCAAAATTTGGGCAAAATCCACTTAATTTTGGTTTGTACGCTCACTCAAGGATGATCATTTTTTCCATCAAAAACAATCCATTATTGTATTCTTTAAATGTAAATGTGAAAAGAGGGAAGTCTGTGTGCATCTGCATTTTTTTGTTTTTTTGTTTGATACTTCATCCAATATAATACAGTGTCCAGTCTTTCTTCTTACACAATTTTCCACATCAAAACACTTTAGTATAAGTACATTGCACTGCTGTCAGAACAAAACCTTATATCTCCCTGAAGGTAACTTTACAAGAGAAGGAAAAATGTTTTTAACTTTCAATGGAAGTAAATGGAGAATTTTTTTTTCCCAAGTAATTTTAGATTTTTGAATTTCTGTTGGTCTGTTCATCATAAAATTTTGACACAACATAAAGGGCAGCTGTCTTTTTCAAACTAGCTCAAAAAAATGAAAAATGACAAAAATGGAGATAGCAGCAATCGGAAAAACAGCTGGATAATTATTTCCTTTTCTAAACCACAAAAAGTACAGGACACTGGTGCATTTTTTAGTCCTGATTTGTGAATTCAGATGACATCATTTTCCATGCCCAAATCTGCCAATATTACACATTAGGGTTTTATTTTGTAAAGCTTATAACTTCAGAAGTCAAGCTCTCAGATGAAACCAGGTTCAAACTGCGCAGCTGATTTGTGGAAAATTTCACAGCTTTTATTTTGTCTGTGTTTCGCCTGTGTAGACTACAAGCGAAATATAAGCTTTTTTACTTTGGCTGGTGATTTTCAATACAAATAACATCAAAATCTATGAAAATGTGTTTGATTTAGCAGAGCTCGCAGGCACCCTCTGCTGTGTTGCAGTCCTGTTTTTGATATAACAGGGGAAATAGGAAGTGGCCAGGCTCCTCATAAACCTGCTTTGTCCCGAGCTGCTACTTGGTCCATTTCTTGTACGTGACGGAAAGAGTTCGTTCTCTTGCACAGCTGATGGAAACTCAATCTAGCTGTTGTGATCCCAATGACTGGGGTGCCATTTAGACCTTGAAACTCTTAAAAAATTAAGCTTTATACATTTTTTTCAATCATTTTGAACATTGAATCTCAGCAAACATGCATGTGTTGATCTCAGACAGTGTCACTCAGTGGCTTGAATGAGTAAAAGGTTTGAAAGTAACAGGGTTGAGTTTACTGTACAGAATTAGTATTCACTCTTAAAAAGATGGTTCTTTAGTAAAGAGAATGGCTCTATGAAATGAATAGAACTATGAAAGAACGATGTACATGCTCAAAGCGTTCTGTACATGGTGAAATGGTTCTTCAGATTGATGGAGAATGTGTTGTATATGGTTCTATATAGCACCTCTGTGTAGCATTAAGCTATGTTACAAGCTTGACATTGTCACAACAGAGGAACCCTTTTCAAAAAGGTTCTATAAAAATCTAAAGAACTGTTTCACCATGCAAAGAACCCTTTATGCATGCAAATGGTTCTTTGAGTGTTCATGGTTCTATATAGAACTATTGTCTTTACTAAAGAACCCTTGAGTAACCATCTTTTTTAACAGTGGAGAAATAGACAAAAAATGTGGTTAACTAGCATCCATGCTAATTGCATTGAAGTCAATAAGGATATTCTAATGACATTCTAATGTTAAACTCAGCAACTGTATATATACCGTGCTGATGTATGTCAGTTGTAATGGTCATGTGAGATATTATTATTATTATTATTATTATTATTGTTGTTGTTGTCATAATATTATGGTCATATTACGACTTTACATGTTTAACAATCCCTTCCTGGATCGGGGCCTTGTCGAGGCGGACGGGCTTGTGTGGTCTAGGGATCTTCAGAGCTAAGTCGTCGGGAGCAGTATGCTCCTGGTAGGGTCTCCCAGGGCGAAACAGGTCTGGAGTGAAGACCCAGACTAACTCGATCCAAAAATCCTCTTTGAAAAATGGACACATACAAACGTGTACCCTGCCCGGGAGAGGGTCACCGGGACCTACCCCTGGAGCCAGGCCTGGGGGTAGTGTCCTCCGGCGAGCGCCTGGTGGCTGGGCATCCCACGTAACCCGGCCGGGCTCAGCCCGAAAGAGGCAACGTGGGGGGACCATGTGGGCCCACCACCCGCAAGGTCGAGCATGGGGGAGCAGTGCAGTGCCGTATAGGCAGTGGGAGATTGCGGGGGGGCCCCTGGTGGCCTAGGCTCCTGCGGCAGAAACTGGCTCTTGGTACGTGGAATGTAACCTCACTGGGGGGGAAGGAGCCAGAGCTTGTGCGGGAGGTTGAGAGGTACCAACTAGATATAGTTGGGCTCACCTCCACCCCACCCACAGTGTCGGCTCTGGAACCAAACTCCTTGATAGGGGTTGGTCCCTCTCCTACTCCGGGGTTGCACAGGGTGAGAGGCGCCAGGTGGGTGTGGGGATACTCACGAGTCCCCGGCTGGCAGCCGTGCAGTTGGAGTTTGTCCCGGTGGACGAGAGGGTCGCCTCAATGCAAATTAAAATGGCAGAGAGGAAAACTCTGACTGTTGTGTGTGCTTATGCACCAAACAGCAGGTCGGAGTATTTGGCCTTCTTGGAGCAAGTGGGTCGGGGTTCTGGAAAGGGTCCCGCCTACAGACTCCATAGCCTTACTGGGAGAGTTCAATGCTCATGTTGGCAATGACTGGGAGACCTGGAGAGGTGTGATTGGGAAGAACGGCCTGCCCCATCTAAACCCGAATGGTGAGTTGTTATTGGACTTGTGTGCTAGGCATGGATGGTCCATAACGAACACCAAGTTCCAACCCAAGGATGTTCATAAGTGTACGTGGTACCAGAGCTCCTTGGCTGAAAGGTCAATGATCGACTTTGTTGTCGTTTCATCTACTCGGGACCGTATGTTCTGGACACTCGGGTGAAGAGGGGTGCTGAGCTGTCGACTGATCACCACCTGGTGGTGAGTTGGATCAGATGGCAGGGAAGACTAATGGTCAGACCCGGTAGGCCCAAGCGAATAGCGAGGGTGTGCTGGGAATGACTGCCGGAGGCCCCTGTTCGGAATGATTTAAACTCCCACCTCCGGGAGAGCTCTCTCATGTCCGGCAGGAGGTAGGAGACATGGAGTCTGAATGGACCCTGTTCAAAACCTCCATTGTGGAAGCTGCCAGGCATGGCTGTGGCCAAAAGCTTGTGGGTGCCTGTCAGGGCGGTAACCCAAGAACCACCTGGTGGACACCGGTGGTGAGGGAGGCCGTCAAGCTGAAGAAAGAGGCCTTTAGGGACTGGATGGCCCGGAGGACTCCCGACTCAGCAGATAGGTACCGACCGGCAAAAAAGGTGGCAGAAGCAAAATCCAGGGCATGGGACGAGTTTGGTGGGGCCATGGAAAAAGACTTTCGGTCAGCCTTGAGGAGGTTCTGGACAACTGTCCGGCGACTCAGGAGCGGTCGGGGTGGCTTCGCCCAAGCTGTGTTCGGCAGGGGTGGGGAAGCTCTGACTTCAAATGAGGATATTGTCGGTTGGTGGAAGGAGCACTTTGAGGAACTCCTTAATCCGGGAGATATGCCTCCCTCATGGGAGTCAGGGCCAGAGGCTTCTGGCGTGTCAAGCTCCATTTCCCTGGTGGAGGTCACTGAGGTAGTTGGCAAGCTCCTCAGTGGCAAGGCACCTGGGGTGGATGAGATTCGTCTGGAGATGCTTAAGACTCTGGATATTGTGGGGCTGTCGTGGCTGGCGCGCCAATATTGCATGGACCTCGGGAACGGTACCCTTGGACTGGCAGACCGGGGTAGTGGTCCCTATTTTTAAGAAAGGGGACCGGAGGGTGTGTGCCAACTATCGGGGTATCACACTGCTCAGCCTCCCTGGGAAAGTCTATGCCAAGGTGCTAGAAAGGAGACTTTGACCGATAGTTGAACCTTAGATTGAGGAGGAACAATGCGGATTCCATCCCGGCCATGGAACAATGGACCAGCTTTTCACCCTTTCACGGATTGTTGAGGGGGCATGGGAATTTGCCAACCCAGTCTACATGTGTTTTGTGGATTTGGAGAAGGCTTACGACCGTGTTCCCCGAGATATCTTGTGGTCCTCCGGGAGTATGGGGTGCCGGGGCTGCTACTCCGGGCCATTCAATCTCTGTACTCCCGGAGTGAGAGCTGTGTTCGTATACTCGGCATTAAGTCAGACTCTTTCAGTGTTAGCGTTGGACTCCGCCAGGGTTGTGCCCTGTCTCCACTCCTGTTTGTGATATTCATGGACAGGGTGTCAAGGCGTAGCCGTGGTCAGGAGGGCATTATGTGTGGAGGCCGAAGGGTGGCGTCTCTGCTATTTGCAGACGATGTTGTTCTTTTGGCTGGATCACATGGATGCCTCCAGCGCGCACTGGAGCAGTTTGCAGCTGAGTGTGAAGCGGTTGGTATGCGGATCAGCATCTCCAAGTCTGAGTCCATGGTCTTAGCCCGGAAAAGGATGGCATGCCTACTCCAGGTAGGGGGAAAGGACTTACCCCAAGTGGAGGAGTTTAAGTATCTTGGGTTCTTGTTCATGAGTGATGGGAAGAGGGATTGTGAGATCGACCGCAGGCTGGGACAGGCGGCAGCAGTAATGCGGTCGTTGTACCGGACTGTAGTGGTGAAGAGGGAGCTGAGCCGTAAGGCGAAGCTCTCTGTTTACCAGTCGGTCTACATCCCAACCCTCACCTATGGTCATGAGCTATGGGTAATGACCGAAAGAATGAGATCGTGGTGGGTCAAGATCCCGGGGTCATCGTAGGACGCGCTGTAGGGATTATATCTCCAGGTTGGCCTGGGAGCGGCTTGGGGTCCCCGGGAATGAGCTGGAGGAAGTTGCGGGGGACAGGGTTGTCTGGGATTCTCTGCTCTCCCAACTGCTACCGAGACCCTAGCTGGACTAAGCGGTTAACAACGATGATCATGATGATGATGTTTAACAATCTATTCTTTGCTGTCCAGAAAACAATTCTTCCATGGATAATAAACCATGTCCCCAGGAGGCTGCAATCAAATTTGGTTCCACTGTACTTCCCATATTCATCTCCACTGTGGTCCTCCTCAGTCTCATTGGTAACATCCTGGTTCTGGTGATCCTTGGACTCTACGAGAACCTCAAATCACTGACCAACATCTTCATCCTCAACTTGGCTCTGTCTGACCTGATCTTCACGCTTGGACTTACAATTTGGGCCTGTTATCTCATTTGGAGCTGGACGGTTGGTGGTTTTATTTGTAAAGGTATTAGCTTTGTCTTCTCTGCTGGATTTTATAGCAGCATTGTGTTCCTGACACTGATGTCCATTGAATGCTATGTAGCAGTGGTCCATCCTCTGTCAGACTGGAACAGGTGTCAGAGTTTTCCCGTGATTCCCATTATTGCTTGGGTGGTGAGCTTTTCGGCAGCTTTGCCAGACTTAGTTATAAGCAAAGCCTCACCTGACCCAACAGACCCTAATAAATATGACTGTGATTATACCAGCATTACAGCTGCTCTTGGTGTTATATATGAGCAGAACATTTTTTTGGTTGTTGCCTTTTCTGTCATGAGCTTCTGCTTCATAAGAATTCTTCTGACCATCATCAAGGCCCAAACAAAGAAGAAACACAGGACTGTAAGACTCATCTTCTGCATGGTGGTGGTGTCCTTTGAGAGCTGGGCTCCTTATAACATTGTGGTATTTCTGCAGACCTTAGCTTATTATCCGATTGACCCCTTGACACAATGTGGTGTCTCCGATCATCTTGACTATGCATTTCATCTCTGCAGATTACTCGCTGTTTCCCACTGCTGTGTTAATCCAGTGATTTACATTTTTGCTAGTAAAAAAGCAAGGAATCATTTGAAGGCGCTTCTACAGAAGATATTCCTACAGCAAACGAATACAGAATTCCATCAGGCAGAAATTCACTCTTACAGTTCAATGTGAAGCAGGATTGAATATCCATGTCATTCCTGAGTCACCTAACACAAAAGCAATGTAAAACTGAGGAGGCACAATATTCCAATATTTTATTTTTATATTCCACACTATGCATGCCTTAAATACCTTCATTTATAACATTATTCCTCACCAGTTCACATTGCAACAAGCAGGTCACGCCCATTTCACCCATGTAACTATGTAAAATATTAAACTCTGCTACAAATACATTTTTTTATTATAATGTTTTAAATGTCATATTATATTATTAAGTATGATGCTTATATAATGTCTGTACTATGCTGAAATTGATTGGCGGGTGTTTTATGCACTGTGTGATTTAGCATTAACTTTCACTTTAATGGCTTATATTCTGTCATGTGTAATTACTGTGGAGTTTTTGTGAAATTTTATGCCAAAAATTTCAAGTTAAATTCTAAAATCCGCAAGCAAAATATTAAGTATCAAAATGTCAGAAATCTGTTGCCAATGCAAATAATGACAGTTAAATCAAACTTATTTTTTCAATAAAAATTCTGGTATCAATTTATTACACCACTTTGCCAGTTTTGGCTTTCATTTCTTTTATATTTGCTGATACATTTTTTTGCTACTGGAATCCCTCTTTTGCTTCTGAAATGTTTCTTTTGCTTCTGACTTTTGGCACTTTTTTAACAGGGGGTGGGTCTTAGAAGAGAGCATTTACCTGCACAGCTATACCACCTTTCGAGTTTCAAACTGCTAGCGCTAACCAGCCTAGCACGGTCCTCTAGGGATAACTAGGAGAGACACACTGGGAATGGAGTTAAACTGCTTATATAATAGAAATAGCTGCTTATATCTGATATTAGTTCACTGCAGTGATTTGGAGCAGCAGCATTCTGTAAATGGACGTGATGAGATGCAAAGCCTGTTTCAGCGACTGACACAGAGTGGATAGAAACAAGAAGAGACTGACATAAAATCCTTTATAAAAGACAAATCAGAACAGCCATTCATGACATGCCAACTTTATTCCCTTTGTAGTGATTGAACATCAGCTATCTTATGGCAGCAGTAAGTCATAGCTGGCAGTAATCAGAGGAATTGTCCACTCTTCACTGTTTAAACAGCTGCAAAGCTCACCTAGTTGGCCCTTTAGCAGACAATGCTAGGCTAGCTAGCACTACATCTGCAAACTCAAAAGATGATACAGCTTTGTTCAACAGTTATGTTTTCCTAAATACTTCAGTTTCCAAAATATATTTTTAAAACAGCTCAACACAGGAATCTGAGTGTGTTACATCAATAAATATGACCAACATTAATGTTGGACAGCTCAGCACATTCTTCTCCATGTTCAGATCACAGCTCTTGGAGTGGGCATGGCTATGTGTTCAGAAGACCTGTCACTCCAAATTAGTTGGAATTGACCAATAGAAAGTGCAGGTCAAGCTGAACAACTGTGTCAGCAAGTAGTTGAATTCACTCATTAGAAGGGATATCTGTATACTTTTGCACATATAGAGTATCTGTCATGTAGAGTTGTAGTACTTGAGTCCGGTCTCCATGAACTAGTCTTGTGATATAAGATATTACAATGTGATTGTTTCCATTTCATAATAAATATGGATACTGTTTAGTTTATGTTCATTTGACTTTGAAAGAGGAAAGCAACAAAGAATAACCTCAGCACTGCTTCAAGTTACAATGTAAAGTTTGACTAAGACTACAGTATAGCATAATACAAACAATAATTTTAGGTTAAATATTTAGGCTAAATATCACACATTACATATTAGTCAATTCCACGTCAAGACTGAGACCAGATTTTTTTCAGAGCATATATGTTGGCTAAGGCAGTCAGGTTTCAGAGGTTCTTGAGTCCATGATATCATGTACCTGAACAAGCTGTCCAGGGCCTTTGGAAGAAAAACAGGCCTGCAACATCACAGATCCACCACCATTATTTCAGAGCGGGGATAATGTTCTTTTCTATATGGCTATATTTGTGTCTACACCAATCTCATCTCTGGTGTTTGTTGCCAAAAATTCTGTTTCGGTGTCATCTGACTATAAAACACTTCCCACTGAAAGTTCCAGTTCTGGCAAACTGTAGGAGCTTGAGTTTGATGGCCTTTGACAGCAGAGGCTTTCTTCTCAATTCAACACCATTGTTACCCTTCCCTGAAGTGGTCATCCAACAAAAATGACTCCAAGGCAAAGCATATAATATTCTAGGAGGTCACAAAGAGTCCCAGGTTAACATCTAAGGATCTGTAGGCCTCTTTTACACTGGCTAATGTCAGTATTCATGAGTCTATAATCAGGCAAACACTAAACAAGAATAGTACATATGAAATGATAGCACAGAGGAACACTGGTACACAGGTACCATACTGTAGATTAACGGTAAATTATAGTAAAATGTTACAAACTATTTATTTCCCTATTTATTTATTTCTGTATTTCCTTGTCCTTATGCTAATAAAGGGGCTGTCAATCAACAATGTCACAGCATGTTAATATTCCTATTGGTTGTTTGATATCGGATTCTGTATAGATCGTTTGTACGTCTTGCTCTGTCAGCGGTAACTAAGGACAAGATAGCACAACAATGGCTGCTTACACGAAGACAGCAGACAGCAAGAGATCTGAGAGTCTCGGCTGATCTGGCTGAAAATGCAGGTACGGCTTATTTACTAGTGTGTGTGTTCACTAGCATGTATGCGGATCACTGTACAGATAGGCTAGATTGCGGTGGTGAAATTTTCCCATTGTGGGACTAATAAGGGTCTCTTAATCAATAATCACATCTCTATGTATACACTCACTGGACACTTCTTATACACCTAAATTAGTTTAACTAACTAAGCCTGTTTGCATATGACATCATGTCACTGCATTGCTGTGGTGTGAACTGCAGAAAGAGGTCAGGAAGTGATTTTCTACATGGCCTGCTGCACCATTTAAGGTGGAACACGCAAACTGGCAAAAAAGAGGCTGCTTTGGGTGGAAAGCAACACCACTAACACTTGAATCGGAATTAATGGTTAAACAAACGACAGGCAGGGATAAATAACTTAACGTGCCATCCAATTGCAGTAAGCTGAAGTGACTCGTCTGTCTTGTTCCATGATGATCCACATCTTCACTAGCATAAGTTGAGTAAACAACCGTAGCATTAATGTTGAGAAGCACTGCGGCATGAAGGATGTTTGAACGAGGTAGTTGCTTATCTACTGCCTCGATAGAAGTTCAATTTAAAAAACGCTCCACTTCATAACAAAAGATTCATGTTTAACATATGTTCTCTTGTAATATCGTATAAACTAGCACAGTATGGGCTGGCCTGCATCTTGCATGCTTTTCACCTCCTGCCTCCTTCTAGATTTTACACGTGATCAGAATCTGAAGTCTGCAGACAACATATTAGAGATTGTAGTCCATCTGTTTCTCAGCATAATTTGTTTACTCCTTCATCAGTGATCAGGACCAAGAATAGGTTTCATTTGGGAGGTGGTTTCCTTCTCAGCACTGCAGTGATGTTGACATGGTAGTGGTGTGTTATCGAGGGTTGTGTTGGTACAACTGGATCAGACCCAGCTGGACTTTTAAAACACGGTGTCCACTCCACTGTATCCAAATACATACCTACTGTACCTTGTTAGTCCTTTTAGAGGTGAAGTTAGAGATGTAAGCTCATCTGTTGCTGCCCAGTTTGTTAGTTAATTTCTAGTCCTTCATCAGTGCCTACAGGATGCTGTTGGCTGGTAATTTATTCTCAGTCCAGCAGATATACTTAAGTGTTTAAAGACTCAAGCAACACTTCAGTATGACTCTGTGCAACACCACACATATTACCATGTCAGTGTCACTGAGAATGATCCTCTACCCAAATAAGACCTGCTGTGTGGCGGTCCTGAAAATTGAATAACAGGGTAAAAGGGGGCTAACAAAGTATGCAGAGAAACAGAAGGACTACAATTGTACAACTACAAAGTGTTCCTATATGGTAAGTAGAGCTGATAAAATGGACAATGAGTCTATACATATAATCAAGCACAATGGTGTACTGCACACTCTACATTCCATATTTTTCTTTAACACCTGTAACTATTTTTTCTTTAATACCTGGTAACTATTACCCATATACTTGCTATTCCACCCGTTTTGTCTGTGCAAGGTCTGTATATTTTTGTAAGACAATTAAAGCTGTTGTTTCCAAATGATTTCTAGTGTTGTCACTGAAATTCATGTATGCATAGAGGTGAGTTTTAAGAATCGGTGACTTTTACAAAGTAATACAGTACATACTGGTATAATGCATGATAATGCACATCATGTTCTTAAAACTGCAGCAGACTGTTGATTGTTCTGCTATGTCCACTTCTGTTCATTAACGTCTGAAAAACAAACCAAAATTAAAAGATGATTCAACCTTGATTCACAACATTGACTCAACCATAAATAAACATTGAAATGCCAGCTGAGGTACCTGATGTCCGGCCCATTTAAGGAGAACTTTAAATTGAAGGTAATTTCGTCTGGCCCATAACATGTAATGTATATAACATATAACATAATATAGCCAGTGTGGGGTAAGTGTATGGTATAGCCCTGATCTGGCACACATCTGGCCTATTTTTGGTGCAGCTGAGGTTATGTTCTTTGGCCCTGATTTGGCCCAGACCTGGCCCATGTAAGGTGAGCATATGGTAAATTTAATTTGGCCCAGATTTGGTCTACAACACACATGACATCTGGCCCATATAAGATGAAGCTGAGGTTAAGTCCTCTGGCCCTGATTTGGCCCAGACATGACCCATGTAAGGTGAGCATATGGTAAATTTATTTGGCCCATATATGGTGGAACTGTGGCTGAGTTGAGGCAGCCAGACTCACCCTGAGTCAATGCTGTACATCAAGGCCAAAAGTGGGCCATGAGAGAACTGCAGATGTGGGCCACATCTGAGCCAAATATTCATTGCTATCTGGGTCAGAACAAACTCACAGAGATGCTCCGCCTGTTAGAGCCTGCTACTATTGTTCAGAACTGAATCCCTGTTAGTTTCTGTTTCTCCGCGACTTCTCTCTGTGGCACAGACGAGCATTTGGGAAAGAGAAATGGGTAAGAAAATGACATTTATGTCAACTATTTTAGTCATTTATTAAAACAACACTGTGATTTGTCATCACTACTAGCGAACTAAAGAAGAATTTTCTCTCTGGTGTGTGTTTTTCTGCGTATTTAAAACAGGAGCTGAAACGGCAAATATCGGACAAAATCGACAAACCTCGCCAAAACGAACCATTTTTGCCTGTAAAAAAAATGAATGCGCTAAATTAAAGTATATCCATCCATCATTATTGTGTTCTTTTAACGTAAATGTGAAAAGACTGAAGTCTGTGTGGGGAATATACACGACAGAAGGCAGCAGAGTCCAGTAAACTAATGAAGAACTGATAATGTATCTTCATCTTACCGATGAAAAAACATAATAATAATAATAATAATAATAATAATATAATAATAATAATGCCAGTGCATTCTCTTAACATGTCTCAGTGCAGGCTTGTTCACAGACATGTACTCGCCCTCTTGGTTGGTGTGTTGAATGTCAGTATTTTGTTCTGCTGTCATTCTTCAAGATCCGCGTGAGCGAGATGAGGCTCAGCCTCGTCCCGGGAACAGAGCTCGTTGATCGGCTCGGGCTCAACAAGCTTCATCGCTCTCGAGCGCCCCCTCTGGTGCAGTACCACCCCAATAATTTTCTGCTGTGGACTATTGGTGGACTGCCTCACCTCAGCGGGGAAAATCGTGATTGTAATAAGACACGGAGACTCTGTGGAGTCTTAAACACAGTTAACCTCATAACTGCTGCGCTGTGATTAGACATAGCGTTACATGGTGGCGACTGCAGTTCAAATCCTATAGTCAATAGTGCTGTTGACTGAAACATGACTGCAGTGTCTCTCTCGATAAGACTGATCGCTATATACAGTCAATTAAATGACGTTTGCATGCTCAGAGGTTCTTTGCATGGTGAAATGGTTCTTCTGATAGAGAATGTGCTGTATGTGGTTCTATATAGAACCTTTTTGAAAAGGGTTCTACATAGCACCAAAAAAGGGTTCTTCTATTGTTTCAAGCTTCCCAGATAGCACATTTGATATGGCCCATATATATATGTGTGTGTGTGTGTGTGTGTGTGTGTGTGTGTGTGTGTGTGTGTAAAGCAAAACAGAATCATTCTTTACATGTTTAACAATCTTTTCGTTGCTTTCCAGAAAACTACACTACAGAAAACAACACTATAGAAGAATACGAAGACTATTACTCATATCCTTCCATGAATAATGAAACATGTCCCCAGGAGGCTGAGATCGAATTTAACCCTACTGTACTTTTCATATTCATCTCCATTGTGGTTCTCCCCAGTCTCATTGGTAACATCCTGGTTCTGGTGATCCTTGGACTCTACGAGAACCTCAAATCACTGACCAACATCTTCATCCTTAACTTGGCTCTGTCTGACCTCATCTTCATTCTTGGACTTACAATTTGGGCCTCTTACTTCATCTGGAGATGGACTTGCGTTGATTTTATGTGTAAAACTGTGAACTTTATTTTCTCTGCTGGATTTTATAGCAGCATTGTGTTCCTGACACTGATGACTATTAAGCGCTATGTAGCAGTGGTCCATCCTCTGTCTGACTGGAGCAGATGGCAGAGTTTTACAGTGATTCCCATCATTGCTTGGGTGGTGAGCTTTTTGGCAGCTTTGCCAGAGTTCAGCATCATAGGTGACCCAATATACCCTGACATACTTTACTGTCAATATTTCACCATTTCAGGCATTCTTGGTGTCACATATGAGCAGAACATTTTTTTGGTTGTTGCCTTTTCTGTCATGAGCTTCTGCTTCATAAGAATTCTTCTGACCATCATCAAGGCCCAAACAAAGAAGAAACACAGGACTGTAAGACTCGTGTTCTGCATGGTGGTGGTGTCCTTTGTAAACTGGGCTCCTTATAACATTGTGGTATTTCTGCAGACTTTAACTCATCATCAGATTGAGTTTTTTACACAATGTAGTGTCTTTGCTCATCTTAAATATGCATATCATCTCTGCAGATTACTCGCTATTTCCCACTGCTGTGTTAATCCAGTGATTTACATTTTCGCTAGTAAAAAAGCAAGGAATCATTTGAAGGCGCTTCTACAGAAGATATTCCAACGACAAACAAATACAGAATTCCATCAGGCAGAAATTCACTCTGACAGTTCACTGTGAAGAGGATTGGGGACCCACATCATTCCTGTGCAGTTTTTAAGGGTCACCTTGCATGACAAAGAAGGAATGTAAAACTGAAGAGGCACAATATCCCAATATTTTATTTTTATATTCCACACTATGCATGCCTTAAATACCTTCATTTATAACATTATTCCTCACCAGTTCACCTTGCAACAAGCTGGTCACGCCCATTTCACTTATGCTATGTATCATAATCATGATGTTTTAAATCACATATTATATTATTAAGTATGATGCTTCTATAATGTCTGTACTATGTTGAAATTGTTTGGAGGCTGCGTTTTACGCACTGTGTGATTTAGCATTAACTTTCACTTTAATGGCTTATATTCTGTCATGTGCAAGTGATCATTAAAGAGTTGGCACAGCTATATTTTTGTCATTTATTTCTGAAATGCTTTTTTAAGGAGCACATCTAAAATAATTACTATGGAGTTAATTTTGTACCAAAAGTTTCAAATAATTTTCCAAAATTCTAAAATCCATGAGCAAAATATTGAGTATCAAAATGTCAGAAATTTGTTGCAAATACAAATAATGAGAGTTAAATCAAACTTATTTTAAAAAAATCTACTCATTTTTGTCCATTCAGGTATAAATTTATAACTCATTTTGCCAGTTTTTGCTTTCATGCTATATTTGCTTATTTTGCTAATATTGTTTTGCTTCTGGAATCGCTCTTTTGCTTCTGACTTTTGGCACTTTTTAACAGGGGGTGGGTCTTAGAAGAGAGCGTTTACCTGCACTTTCTATTGGTCAACTGATTTAGATTGACAGGTCTTTTGAACACGTTATGAGCAATGTTTGTCGTATTATTTTACATTTTTAATGCAACACATATTTATGGGTCCTGTGTCGACCTGTCTAAAAAGAACTAACTGTTTAAAAAGAAATAACTGTCTAAAAAGAAATAACAAAGCCTGTTTCAGCGACTGACACAGAGGCAATCTGTGGATAGAAACAAGAAGAGACTGACATAAAATCCTCTATAAACAACAAACCAGAACAGCCATTCATCACATGCCAACTTTATTCCCTTTGTAGTGATTGCATCTCATGGCAGCAGTAAGTCGTAGCTGGCAGTAATCAGAGGTATTTTTCCACTCTTCACTGTGTTTAGATCAATGCTGCATTATTTACCTCGACCCCACAGCACTGCAGATTCAACGATTTCCTGACCCAACACACCTGCTTCGGCTCATGAATGGCTCAATAATCAGCTGATGAGCTGGATCAGGTGTTTTAATACAAGGAATGGTTGAAACCATGTGGAGTTGAAGGTCATCATAAGCAGGGCTAATAGACACTGATTTAAACAGCTGCAAAGCTCACCTAGTTGGCCCTTTAGCAGACACTACTAGGCTAGCTAGCACTACATCTGCAAACTCAAAAGATGATACAGCTTTGTTCAACAGTTATGTTTTCCTAAATACTTCAGTTTCCAAAATATATATTTGAAACAGCTCGACACAGGAATCTGAGTGTGTTACATCAATAAATATGACCAACATTAATGTTGGACAGCTCAGCACATTCCTCTCTGGCAGTACTAAGCTCAGTGTGAAGTGCTCCGCCACATTCAGATCACAGCTCTTGGAGTGGGCGTGGCTACATGTTCAGAAGACCTGTCACTCCAAATCAGTTGACCAATAGAAAGTGCAAGTGAATGCACTCTTATAAGACCTGCCCCCTGTGAAAATGTACCAAAAGTCAGAACAGAAGAAAAATTTCAGAAGCAAAAAAACTTTTTTCACAAAATCACCAAAAATAAAAAAATGGAAGGAAAACTGGTAAAAAAAAAAGACTAACCATTTTATTTCAAAATGGCTGAATGATTTTATCATTTTATTTGAAACTTTTGGCACAAAATTAACTCCATAAATTACTTTCTTTCATGAAATTCAATTCAATTTTTGACAAAGTATCTTAAAACTCCATGAAAATAAGTAATTATTTCGTCAATATTTTGAGAAAAATAGTCACAATGTAGATATTTAAAGTAAATATTAAGACAGTATTTCAAGATACTAAGTCAACATTTTGAGAAAATAAGTCACTATTTTGAGATACTGAGTTGGGGTAATGGGCTTCTTCACTATTTTGAAGGATCTGTCATTTTGGCAGTAGCTGGGTTTATGCTATCCTTTAGTCTGAACCATTTGAAACAGTTTTCTTGGTTAAACAGAATAATGTGGTTCCAGAAGTAGTCTGTAAAAGGCTCTCTGGAATCTTCATAATGAACATTTTTCTTTCAGTCATTCGAAGACTAAAGGCTAGTTTTTCGGTTGTATAAATGTTAGCAAAATGACATTGAATTTAATGATGTTGTGCATATATAAACATCATTTTTTGGAAATCTTCAAACACAGAACACACATCTAAGAATATCAGTAATCAGTTTGCAAAGTTTGTGGTTTATTGTTTACACCATATTCACCTATAATGTGTTGATTTAATGTGACAATAATAATTAGTCACTATAATCATGCACTAGATATCCAAAGGTTTGCAGACACTTGCCCATTCAGCGTTTCTTCTGAAGTCAAGTGTATTAATAGGGAATTTTGTTGCTGCTTTGCTGCAGTAACAGTCTCTACTCTTCTAGAGAGACTTTACAGTAGACGTTGGAACATTGTTGTGAGGATTTGACTGAATTCAGCCACAAGAGCATTAGTGAGGTCAGGTACTGATGTTGGATGATCAGTTCTGAATCACTCCAACTCATTCCAAAGGTATTGGATGGAGTTCCATCACTTGAGAGAACACAGTTCCACTGCTCCACTGCCCAATAATGAGGGGCTTTATACCCCTCTAGCTGATGCTCTGCATTGGGCATGTGACCTTGGGCTCATGTGTGGCTGCTCCAGAGCATCCAATTCTATTGACCACGCTTTTCTGTGGATATCATACATGTTCTGTGTGAGCAGTTGAACGCCTGTGTCAGCAAGTAGTTAAATTCACTCATTAGAAGGGATATATGTATACTTTATAGAGCACATATAGAGTATCTGTTATGTAGAGTTTTAGTACTTGAGTCCGGTCTCCATAAACTAGCGGTCTCAGTCTCGTCTCGCTCTCAACCTCATTTGGATTTGGTCTTGTGATATAAGATATTACAATGTGATTATAACCATGTTTCCATTTCATAATAAAATGGATATTATTTAGTTTATGTTCATTTTACTTTAGGTGGTGATTCTGAGTGAGTTTAAAAGAGGAAAGCAACAAAGAATAATCTCACCATTGCTTCAAGTTACAATGTAAAGTTTGACTAAGACTACAGTATAGCATAATAAAAATAATCAATAATTTTAGGTTAAATATTTAGGCTATATATTATATATTACTTAGTAGTCAATTCCACGTCAAGACTGAGACCAGATTAAGATTTTTTTCAGAGCATATATGTTGGCTAAGGCAGTCAGGTTTCATAGGTTCTTGAGTCCATGATATCTTGTACCTGAACGAGCTGTCCAGGGCCTTTGGAAGAAAAACAGGCCTGCAACATCACAGATCCACCACCATACTTCACAGCAAGGATGGGGTACGTTTCTGCAAGACTATATTTGTGTCTACACCAAACTCACCTCTGGTGTTTGTTGTCAAAAACTCTGTTTTGGTCTCATCTGACCACAAAACACAGTCCCACTGAAAGTTCCAGTAACATTTGGCAAACTGTAGGAGCTTGAGTTTGTTGTTCCTTGACAGCAGAGGCTTTCTTCTGGCAACCCCCTCAAAAAACTTGTGGTTATGTAGGTGTAGTTTGATTGCAGTTTGGAAGATGTACCGACCACAAGACCTACCTCATAACACTCAGTTATAATAAATATAACCAAAACATGGTGGTGACTTACAGTCATGCACAGCTTTGTCTGTTGAGCAGAAGCCATGGAATTTTTTGACACACAAAACACTCTTAACTTCTGCATTTGCAGTTTGAATTTCTCATTGTGAAGACTCCAGAGAAGCTCTGACTCTGCTGAAACTGGCTGACTCTCTGGGAAGAGCCTCGCACAAGTTCCTCAGCCCAAGCTTAGAGGAAAGCACAAAAGCATGTCATAGTCCTCTCTCCTCACAAGAAATGGATAAATGGGTAAGAAGGGATATGGTGTATGGTAAAAGTGACGTGGTTTATTTTTTTAGAGAAAAATCTGGTGTGCACCAGATGCTATCAGGTAAAAGTGAGCACCAGATGTTGTGAGCATTCGGTATTATGTGGTGAGCACCAGATACTATCCGGTAAGCACCCAATACTATCAATTGAGCACCAGATACTATGTGGTGAGTACCTAATACTATCAGGTGAGCACCTGATACTATGTGGTGCACACGGCAAACTATAAGTGAGCTCCAAATACTATCAGATGAGCACTGTCTTACACTCGAGTGAGCACCATCTTGCAGTTATGCTCTAGTTGAATGGATATTGTGAGTTTATTGAAGTGTACTTTCAGCTAGTAAATATAAAGACATAACATTTATTCCTGCCAGTCATCATGGATACATCATCACTGAGAAACATGTAAAATGCATTTTAAAGACGAATGGTCTGGACTAATGGCAACATAGACAACATTATCATGTTTATTCAACAACAATTGCAAGGTTCAGTACTTTCCAAGAGGTCCAAACTACATTTGGCATTTTGATTCTTATGACAAACTAAAGCCCTTTGGTATTTGTATTAATGGGTGCATTGATGGATTTTCTAGAAATATAATTTGGTTGAATGCATTCTCTACAAGCAGCAGTCCAAAAATTGTGGGAGGCTATTACATAGAAGCTGTAGAGCGACTCAGAGGTTGCCCTAAAATAGATAGAGGAGATCAAGATACAGAAAATGTACACATCAGAGATTTTCAAAGATTTCTCCGCCGCAACCAAGATGATGGAGCCTATCCCAGCAGTCATTGAGCGGAAGGCAGGATATACCCTGGAAGGGTCACCAGTCCATCGCAGGGCAGAGAGACAGACATATATACATTCACTCAGACACTCACACCTAGGGGCAATTTAGCATGTCCAATTGGCCTGACTGCATGTCTTTGGACTGTGGAAGGAAACCGGAGCACCCAGAGGAAACCTACGCAGACACAGGGAGAACATACAAACTTGAACCCAGGCCCTTCTTGCTGTGAGGTGACAGCGCTACCCCCTGCACCATCACGCTGCCCCTAAAAAGACCATGTAATCAAAACACAAAGAATGGATTTTTATAATAAACATTATAATTAAATGACCTGTGATCACCAAATTTTAACAACCTTACTGGTTAACCAGTCTAGTACCAGAAAGATGATCTTGTAATATTAAAATAAAACATGACGTTTCATGCTAGGTTTTTTTCCACAATTAACACCAATTGCCATGT